GTGGTGAATGAACTGTTGAAAGGAAAGCGGTTAATGGAGGAGGACAACTGCAGAAAGAACCACCACCCTACCCCAACTTTTATTACACAACAGGTAGTGAACACAGTATTCTGAACTTAGCTTTTTGTACTAAACGTAACTCGGCAATTAATCTATTTGGTCTATGCAGATCTGCCTCATACTTTTTAATGGCTGTACAGTGTTCCATTCCACAGACGTACCAGAAGCAATAAGCCAGAGATCTGTGTTTAGCTTCCCAAGTCAGCATTTTAGAAGCTGCTAAACTAGTGGCTAGTGATGCTTAATTTATTTGATGACAAATTTCAAACATACAAAAATAGAGAATAGTCTAATGAACCTCCTTCCAGATTTAACTATAACCCAGATATTGCCACACCGGTTTGACCTATCGCTTTTTTTGCTCAAGCATTTTAAAGCATATCCCAGGGGGTGCCTGAGTGGCTCAGATGGTTGAGCATCTGCCTTCAGCTCAAGTCATGATCTCCAGGTCCTGGGATCGAGCTCCACGTCGGGCTCCTTGCTCAGCAGGGAGGCTACTTCTCCCTCTGCCTCTCCCCCTGCTTATTATACTCTCTCTCTCTCTCAAATGAATAAAATCTTAAAAAATATATATTTTAAAAAAATTTTAAAGCAGATCTGACATGTAATTTTACTTCTGAATACTTCACTACACATCTCTAAAAATGTGGACATTCTTATAGAACCACAATTCACATACTTTAAAAAGAAATTAAAAATAATCCCTTGGGGGCGCCTGGGTGGCTCAGTTGCTTAAGCAACTGCCTTCGGCTCAGGTCATGATCCTGGAGTCCCGGGATCGAGTTCCACATCGGGCTCCCTGCTCAGCGGGGAGTCTGCTTCTCCCTCTGACCCTCCCCCCTCTCATGCTCTCTCTCTCTCTCAAATAAATAAAATCTTAATAAAAATAATCCCTTGGTTTCATTTAATATTCATTTTATATTCAAATTCCAAACTGTCACTAAAATGTTTAATGATTTGATTCAGACTCCAAAAAGGATTCAAAGGTGGTTCTTGTAATCTAACGCAGGTTCCTTCAGCCCCAACTTTTCATTTCATGCCGCTGATAGAGGCTATTTTAATTGTTCTATTTCCTCCAGGGCAGGTATGGGCTTTTGATTGTATGACTGTATGTCTAAAAATATCTTTGTTGTCTTTACACTTGATGGACCCTTTGGATGACTAACTTCTGAGCTGGAAATCAGTTTCCCTCAGAATTTTGACAGCACTACTCTGTGTATCCATTAATGCCACTGAATAGGATGGGGCTTTCCTTATTCCTCGTTTGTAAAGGATTTTATCTCTAGAAGCTTCAGAACCTTCTCTTTACTCCTGATCATCTGAAATTTCAGGATGATGTGCCACCGTGTGGGCATTTTTCGTTCACTGTGTCAGATACCAGTTAATCTAGACACCAGGGTCCTTTAGTCTGATGTTTCTCTTATATTCGTGCTTTGATCATGCCGTCCTCTTTGTTTTCTGTTCTCTTTTTGGAAATCCTATTACTATGACTTTAAAAAAAAAAATGTAAGGAGCAATCTATCTAATCTCTTATTTACTGTTCTTTATTCTACTCTGTCCTACTTTCTGGGAGATTTCTTATCTTTAACCATTTTTTCAATGTTGACAACCATAGTCTTAATTTCCAGGAGCTCTTGCTCGTTCTCTAATCTTTTCTCATGACCTCCTGTGTTGTTGTATGAATGCAAGATCTTCTCAGAGCTCACATAGTTAGTGCTTACAAAGTTTTATTCTACTGCTATTGGCTGTTTTTCTGATTTTTAATTTCCATATTGGAGGATTTCCTCATTGGTCTAGAGATCCTTGGTTGTCTTTTTTAAAAAAAATTGTTAATATGGTACTTTTTAAATGTATACAAAATAATAACGAGCTCCCCCATGCACCCATCACCTGGCTTCAATAATTAAAAAAAAATGTTGGCAAAATACTTATAATCTATTCCTCCTTCCCTCCGCAAATACCTCTCCAAAGTTTGGGGTTTTGTTGGGTTGGGGTTTTTTTTGTTTTGTTTCTGGGTTGTGGGTCTTTTTGTTTTCTATTGCTTTGTTTTTTGGTATCTGCTCTTTTTTTAAACAGTTCAGCACTAATCAGGAATGCTGTGCACATGGTTGAGGCTTGCTTACCGGAAGACCTCACTTCTTGTGAGTGATTCACTAGGGGCAAGCCTTTTACTTAAATGAACCCCAATGTCCATACACAGAAATCTTTTTTCCAGAGTCCTTCAGTTTCTTCAGAAAATAAAGTCCAGTCTTTCACCCAGGCAGCCAGTATCTGAGTACAAATGTGTATATCAGCAAAGGGGAGGACAGTTCTATTAGTAACTTTCAACCTCTACGCCTCTCACCATGGCTCTACACCACACCTCAGGCCTCCAATTCCCAAGACTCTCTAAGGTTGGTAGGGGTGACTCATCTCTCTTCCTCTTGGTTTTCCCCTAAACATACATGCACTTCAAGTCTAGGCTTGCCCCACACTGAGAGACAGAAAGGGACACGATCTCCATCTCCTAAAGAAGAGGAATAAGAGATGCAGCCTAGAGCTGAGGAAAAAGAAATACAGGTTTCACTGCAAGTTACAAAGATAACCAAAAGAGGAATTAAAATTAATAAAATAAATGCATTATGAGGAAGAAAAGAGTAGGAATTAGACCAAATCCTCGTCTTTCGCAAGGAGAAAAATAACACGAAATATACAGAGTATAAATCAAAAAACAGCAATATAAGTTTTTTGATTAGAGAAATGAAGGAAACCACCAGAAGAAGGAAAAGTGGAACCATGAAAGTGAGCGCCTACAAGCAGCAGCCAGCGACCAGGGTGAGGGGCTCTCACTTTTCATGAGGAGCCTGGATGTGCTACCTGAAGCTTTGGTCCATGTTCATGTATTTCTTTGATAGTTTTTTCTTTTAACCTAACAAGCACATCAGAGAAAGGGAAATTTCTTTAATGTTTTCCCATTATACTTAGGATAAAGACCTAGATCATTTAGCCAGCTGGGAAGTCTGTTAAAAACAACAACAAGCTTTTCTGACAATTATGAACACATGTTCAAGTAGTACAATCTCCAGCAGACCAATTCAAAGACTCACTGTGGCTGGAACAGCTTATAAAAAAGACGATTAAACTGAGAAACTAGATAGAAAAAGAAGAGAATGTACTTTATGATATTAGACTCCTGATTGATAGTTAACTGGCGGATAGGTGACAGGTTTCCCAGAAGAAGTTTAAATACTACCAAAATTTATTCAAAAATTACTTCAGTGGGTTTTTTTTCCCAGGATTATGAATTTCTTCCCAGAAGGAGGCTATAAATTACATCATTAAAAAATGTTTTGGGGCACCTGGGTGGCTCAGTTGGTTGGGCGACTGCCTTCAGCTCGGGTCATGGTCCTGGAGTCCCGGGATCGAGTCCCGCATCGGGCTCCCTGCTCGGCGGGGAGTCTGCTTCTCCCTCTGACCCTCCTCCCTCTCATGCTCTCTGTCTCTCATTCTCTCTCGCTCTCTCAAATAAATAAAATCTTTAAAAAAAAAAAATGTTTTGTCACAGATTGGCTTGGGGCAATTTTTTTCTTTTACAGGTCTCCAACAATGGAAATGTTCTAGATCTTTGATGTTTAATACAGAAGCCAGTCACATGTGGCTACTGAGCACTTGAAGCATGGCTAATGTGAGTGAGCAACTGAAGTTTTAATTTTATTTAATTCTAATTTAAATTTAAGTAGCCACATGTGGCTACAGGCTACCACAGTAGACAAGTGCAATTCCAGACTCCATGGCTCCTACGCTCTTCTTACACTAAGCTCTCTCCTCTGTATTCCAGCCACTCTGGCCCACTGTCATTTCCTAAACACACATGCTTACTCTTGCCACAGGGCCTTTGCACCTGTGGTCTCTTCTTCCTAGAATGTTCTACTCTCCCCATTCCCCAACTTCATCTGGTTAACTACGACTTCTCCTTCGCTACCTAAAATCATCTTATCTGCTTATTTGCTCACTTCTTTATGGTTAAATTTTTGTCACTCCACCACTACCCACTCCAACCCACCCAACAGGCAGAATACAAGCTCCATTAGAGCAAGGTTCCTGCTCACCTTGCCCATCATTGTATTCCCACCACCTAAAGACAACACTGCCTGACTCACAGTAGACAGCTAGTATCTACTGAATGAATGCCTTCTCATGATTTTAATTGTCCTCACTCTCAGAGATTCCCAATATCTACTATAGTTCCAATCTTGCCATTGCAATTTAGTTCCAAGTTTCCAACAAGCCCCATGAGCATTTCTACTTAAAAATTCCACTGTCGGGGCGCCTGGGTGGCTCAGATGGTTAAGCATCTGCCTTCGGCTCAGGTCATGATCCCAGGGTCCTGGGATCGAGTCCCGCATTGGGCTCCCTGCTAGGCGGGGCGCGCCTGCTTGTCCCTCTGCCTCTCTCTCTCTCTGACTCTCATGAATAAATAAATAAAATATTTAAAAAAAAAAATTCCACTGTCTAGGGGCGCCTGGGTGGCTCAGTCGTTAGTGGCTGCCTTCGGCTCAGGTCATGATCCCAGGGTCCTGGGATCGAGCCCCGCATCGGGCTCCCTGCTCAGCGGGAGGCCTGCTTCTCCCTCTTCCACTCCCCCTGCTTATGTTCCCTCTCTCGTGGTCTCTGTCAAATAAATAAAATCTTTAAAAAAAAAAAAATTCCACTGTCTACACATCAACTATTACTATCTGCACTCTGTTGCCAGATTAACCTTCAGAAAGCTTCGCTTTATCTGTGTCATACAACTCCAAACAAAGAAACCTTCAAAGAAATCCAAAAGAAAAGCCAATTTTGAGGCAAGAGTGGACACACTGTACATACTCCAACTTTCTTGGGTCCTTTGTAAACCAATACAAAAAGAAAGCAAATGGAAATTTCTCTGCCAAGATACAAAATGAGAAAGTGAATCTTACCACAAGTTCAAAAATGTCCATGAAGACAGAATGTCCCTTAGGTGTTTTCTCATTCAGACTGGCAGGAGACCAGATCCAATAGAAGTAAGTACCATCTGAAGAAAGGTGCACAGTGCTCATGGTGCTGCCAACAGGGAGATGATTGGCTGGCATTGGCACCATCTGGCACACCTGGACATGAAAGGGAAGAAAACATCATTAGGGTGACATACAATTTCTGGTTAATTCTATCAGTTCATCACTAATGCTATTAAGTCCAAGATCAGAATCCAATAGGCTTCCTGGTCAAAATAAAACTGCTATCTCTAAGAGATGAAAATTACATGACAGAAATATAAAAATTCATTCAATGGGCCGTGCGACAGATAAAAGCTAAAAATATCCGAATCTGCTAAGCAGGTGTGTTTTATCAAATATTAAAGACAAAGCTTTAGAGAAATAGTACTTGCTGAAATGTCCTAAGTTTTCCTTATTCCTCTGAAAAAGAATTTCAGACTATTAATTATATTTTAAAAAGGACAGGGACTATATCTTATTTACTTTTATATCCCAGCACCTAATTCAGAGTCTAACTCAGTTATTCAATAAATATGGAAGGAAGTGAAAAAGAGGGCAGAAGGAAGAGGGAAGACAGAGGAGGGAGAAAAGGGGAAGGAGAAAGTAAACAAGTGAAGGCACACGCAAGACCCGAACCCAGCACATGCAGGCTTAGTGAGATGCACCCAGTCCACTGGGAGGAAAACGACAAACACCAATTCTCTGTATCAGACACGAAGGCATGTGTTTCTAATACTAACTATCCTTCAGTTTCAGTATAACGAATGAGCTTTGCAAGATTTCACATTAAATGTGTAGTTACATACTCATTTTTTCTGCAAGAGAAAAGCCCTTAAAATGAGAGAAAATGGGGACCCAAAAAACTGCTGACTAGGTTTTTCAAAAATGCTGAGGGTAGGAGAACTGAAAATCCCAAAATAAAAATTAGAGAAGGTCAGGTGCCTTTGAGAACAGTAAGAACCACTTTCAGTTACTCCAGCTCTCGAGGGGAGTCACTCATTTTCCTAAGGTTACTTCTGACCCTTGAACTCATTTCATATGAGCTTTTCTCCAGACTTGTTTTATCTATTTCAAAAGTTAAAAAGTAATGTAGTTGCTGTAACCACACTTTGTAACTTGTAGTGCCAGGAAATCTAGAAAGTTGACAGCTACTGATTGGCCTAAGATATCCCCAAATTGCTCCAATGCACATCACCTACTTAGCGAAAACGTGGTTTTCTTGAACAAAATTGAAGTTTTTGCAATAAAACCGAGGAAATGGACATTGCCTCAAAAAAAAAAAAAAAAAAAAAAAAAACATGTCCCAAGATTTAACATCTGTCTAATTCCCAGGCTTATAATTCTACTTCAGATAAATATAGGACATATCCTCATCTGTCCGCATTAGCAATGAAAAATGAAGTCAAGGGGCGCCTGGGTGGCTCAGTCAGTTAAGCATCTGCCTTCAGTTCAGGTCATGATCCTGGGGTCCTGGGATCGAGCCCCACATCAGACTCCCTGCTCAGTGGAGAACCTGCTTCTCCCTCCCTCTCCCTGCCACTCCCCCTACTTGTACTCTGTCAAATAATAAAATCTTAAAAAAAAAAAAGTCAACTGGGCATCTATTTGTCAATTTGTTCTTTTTATTCCTCTAACAATTATTAAGCAGCTACTGTGTGCTTTGGAGATACGATAGTGAATAAGACGCAGTCCCTGTTCACCAGGAAAGGCACAGCTGAGTGACAGACAAAAGGAGATGCAGCATTCCACTGAAGTCCTGCCTGGAACTGCTCCCAGGGCATTCACCCCAGATGCGAACTCTAACCAGGCAGTTCACCTTTGGTTGAAAGGCAGGAAGGTGGAATGTAAAAAGCTTGAACTCTAGTGCTGAGAACCATGGGTTCAAGTTCTTATGCTGCCATTATTGTGTGGCCTTGGGCAAGTCCCTTAATGTCGGAGCTACATTCCTTCACTGAACAATAAACACTTGCCAAGTGCTTACAATATGCCTAGCCTCAGCTGCCTTGTCTGTATGACAAAACTGTTATCGTTCTGTCTCACAGATAGGAGAAGTGTATGTAAATTGCCTAGACCAGGGCCCGGCACAGAGACACTGAAAAAGGACAGTTTCTATTATCAACAACCAAATGCTAGGCTCTGTGCTACATTCTAAGCACACAAAGATAGGTAAGACAGGGTCCAGATTTAAAGGCATGTATGGTAGTGGGGAAGAGACAAGAGCGGGTGACTGCAGTGTAACGCACCAAGTGTTGGCATGAGTGCCAGGTTTGGAAGCACTATAGAGGAGCTCGGAATCCCTAACACGTAATGATTTTATCCAAACTCATCTCAAGGCTCCCACTGCCACAGAAAGCCTGTTTAGAACAAATCAAGTAAGGAAATGATGCCTTCCCAAAATAGATCTGGCAAAAGAACAAACAAACAAAGACAGCTAGTACATATACACACCATCTTTGACTCTCCAGAATTTTTTTTGATCATAAAAATTTGTCGATGGCCTTAGAAACTCTTAGGGAGCACATTCACACAGATCATGTGGGGAAACTCTAAGATATCAGAGAAAACAGAATGCCTAAATGGTGACAATTAAAAGGATTGCCACTACGGCAGGAAACTAGATCAGCGGTGTTCTTAGTCCTTCTGATGAGGTCAGCAACTTCCTCTACTGTCTTCAAAATATAAAAAGACAACATCTTGGTTTTCTTTTTACCTGAAGGGTATTCTGGTCAATGACCTGGAAAAGGGAGTGAGGTTTATTATCAAAAGATACAGGCCGGTGGAGAAGATTACCACTGCCAAAAGCAACCCATCCTGGTTCCAGCTCCTCATTCCGGCAGTACACAAAACCTCTGCAGAGGAAAAAAAAATATATATATAGTGGCTGAGTAGGCAGGCAGTGTTCGAAACCACACAATGCGCTACAACAAACATTTTCCACCTAATTTTTAAAAATGACCATGCAAAATATCTAGAGAATATACATTAACATTTTGCAACTGAAAACCTACAGCAAATATTAATTTTCCACAACAAATTAGGGAGGAGAAAAAGTTGGGGAAAAGATCTAATTAAATACATATAAGGATCTCAAACTGTGATTTCTTTTGGCAGCAATTCACAGATCTTATATCCCAACCGCAAAGCACTGTTAATCCAATGTGAAATCCAAGTACAAAAAAACTTAACTAGAAAAATGTCCATTCATCAACATGGAGAAGTCACTAATATTATAGTAATTCTAATCATAGAGGAATTTCTGGCTAGAAACAATGACCTGAGGGCTACCAAGCTCTTTAAGAGTCAAAACAAAGCCGAAATGCATGAACAGAACAAGAGTCTACTAATCCGAGAAAACCCAAATTACATGAAGTTGTTCAGACTTATTTAGTTACTAGTCAGTCTTGGGGGTTGGGGGTGGGGGGGATATGCCTCCCAGGTGTCTTCTTCAGAGAGATTTATATAAGGAAGGAAATGTTCCAGCCAAATCATTCAGCAAGTTCCATGCAACTGACCTGAGAGTACCATGTAATCCAGACCCCAATTTGCTTACTCCTCTTCCAACTGAGTTAGTAGTATACAGGTAAAGACCATCTGCCGTGAGACAGCGCCCCAAGTCAGCATCTGAAATCGTTTTTTCACAAGTAAATTATATATATGCTTTTTCTAGTGAAATTATAAACGTGCTTTTTCTAATGAAAAAGCCATTAGGAGGTGGGGTGAGAGATAATCTCCCACCTCTAAAATAAGTGCTTCAATGTGACTTCCAGGAAAGACGGCTCTAACCTCCAAATCAAACATCCAAAATGCATGTGGGATCAGGAACCAAAATCAGCGAAAGAGGTCAAACAGGTAATAGCAGGAGAACCTAGTCCTGCCTGCCAAAAGTTTTCTTTTTTGAACAGCAAAAATGTCAAATTTATGCGTTCCTAATTCTAATCTGAAATGACTAGGACTACAGTACTTTCAATAATGATTCTGTAGTTTAAAAGGTGTGAGCTTTTAAGAGTTTGCGGCACTTACTAGTTGCCCTTGGGCCTTTTTGAACTTCAGTTTCTTTGTCCATAAGAGAAGGATAATATGTACATCAAGAGTCGCTGTGATGGTTAAATGAGATAATGCAAGTAAACACCAATTTACTCTGGGCTACAAAACCAAAGCTCCATAAATGGCAAATGAGATTATGTTGAAATACCAATGAAATACATGAACAAATCACATGCTTCTGTGGACTTCCCATCCAGCCACTATGTTTGCCCTTAGCTATATCCTCTGCCAGCTAAAACAAACAGTATCGGTCTACAGAACCATTAAATGGTTTACTAACTTACCTTCTAAAGAATTGGTCTTAAAAAGAGAGCTTATAAAACTTTTGGTATTTTCATAATCATTTCACTGTTTGTCTACTACATGTCATATTAAAGGAAACCCACACCACAGCACTCATTAGTGAGTATGCTGTTAAGAATTCAGTCTACTAATCCAAGACAACTGGAACTTAACTGTTTTCTGAGCAATCAGTTGTGAGTAATCATTTCTAAAATTAATTTCCCTCAAATATTTTAACTTGAAACATATAAATATCCATTCATTCAACCCTCTTTAGATTGAGGCTCTATGCCTTCTGAGAAGTCTGACAAGGGGTGGGAGCAAAAGATTAAACAAGATTGGCCCCGAGCTGATACTTGTTGAAGCTGAGTGACGAGTACATAAGGTTGACTTAAAGCATTCTCTCAACTTCCACATCTGTCGAATGTTTCCATATTAAAAATAAGATTACTTTTCCTTCGGCTCAGGTCATGAGCCCAGGGTCCTGGGATCGAGTCCCACATCAGGCTCCCTGCTCAGCGGGAGGCCTGCTTCTCCCTCTCCCACTCCTCCTGCTTGTGTTCCCTCTCTCACTGTGTCTCTCTCTGTCAAATAAATAAAATCTTTTAAAAAAAAATATTACTTTTAAAATTATAAGAAAAATATTCGCAGGGCACCTGGGTGGCTCAGTTGGGTAAGCATCTGCCTTCAGCTCATATGGGTTCGAGCCCGGCACCCGGCTCTCTGCTCAGTGGGGAGCCTGCTTCTCCCTCTGCCCCTCCCCCTGCTTGTGCTCTCTCTTGTTCTCTTCTCTCTCTCAAATAAAATCTTAAGCCAAAAAAAAAAAAAAAAAAAAAAAAGGATTCTCTAGGTGGAAGCAAAACTAAAGGTACAAAAAAAAAAAAAAAAAAAAAACCTAAAGGTACAAGAGAGTGAAAAACAAGTAGATCAGCTTAACACCATCATCCTCAGTAAGAAACTACTCCAAGGGAGATATATTAAAGAAAGTAAAAGGAAGAACAGGAAGGGGTTTGGTTTTGTTTAAAGATGTCAATTTCAGCCTCTGTTAAGAACTTCGTGGGTATTATTGCAGGCTTTTTTTGCTTCTCCCATGGAGTCTAGTTGCGTCATGGCTAAAAGTCTTGCCTGTTCCTCTTACCAGCTCACCTGACTGTTTCAATAGTGACATGAACAGACACAGGCCCCGGGAGGAAAGGTGCACAGGTGGCCTGCTGCTTAGACTACACCCCATGCCCTTCTGGTTGCCCCAGAAGTCTGCCTCCATCTAGGGTTCTAAATGAAAGGGTGGGCAGAGTAGGCCTCTGAATCCCATACCTAATTAACGTCAATTTCTTAGAGATTCACTTTGAATCTTTCCATAAGAAAGCTGAATGTTTTAGAAACAATTTCCTGGGGTGTTTTAAATTCCTATTTCATCAGTTATGTAATGTTTAATGATATAATCATGATACCAGTTACAACAGCAAACAGGTTTGCGAGCAGGGTGGACTCTTGGCAAGCCTGCAACCCCGCAGGTAGGAGCGGCCGTGCACACACGGCCTAGAAGAGGCTGCCCTGTGGGGCCGTGGTACCACTCAGTACGTCGACCACGCGATATGGAGAGGCCTCCTCCATCCCACAGGCCAGGCGAGTGAAGGTCACTTAAGAGAGCTGCTGCCATTTTCACAGAAATCAGAATAAACTGATATGGAATACTCGTGAAAGTGTAAAAACATTTTAATCCAGACCATTCTGTTAAAGGAGATACTTGATTCATGTTCCTTTGAACAATCTCTTGCTCTTTTTCTTTGGGGGGGGGGGGAGAGTTTAGGATGGGAGGGTTCATCAAAAACACTCCTAATAAATTACTAAAGGAAACAGCATCAGGCTCAGGCAGCAAGACCAGATATTCTGTTCACGGATATAAAAATTCAACTTGAGGCTCCCAGGCTCAAACACAAATACCCAGGAGTCAACTTAAGTAATTCATGCCTCCTAGGCTAAAGTATATGGATGATACCTTTTCCTTGCGATAGCAAAACCTATCCATTTTCTTACCTCACTGAGTATCAGCTTTTACACTTGTACTGATAAAGCAGACAATGAACATACTGTATAGGAACCTAGCGCTTTTAATTAAAAGGAACACAGTTCTATCTAAATCATTTGCCACAACGATCTAAAACCACTCTTTTCACATTTTCATTTCAATCACAGGAGCAAAAGCCCCTACATTACCTTTATTTTCAGAACTGGAGCCGGTGTTGCTATCTGGTGCAGGCAACATGTCTTCATACCCCCATGATACTATGTGTTTGCCACCGAGCAAACAGGAGGGGGATCCAGGCCCCCCTTCCAAAAGCAACAGCCTAAAAATGGGGAGATGGGAGAATCATAAAGACACTGAGACCATCCATTTCAGCAAGAAAATGAAAGTCATCTTACAGAGCAGACAACTAAAATAGGTTTATATAAATATACATCTGGAAAAACTATTCATGTTTTTAAATTTAAAAATTACAAAGCAGTGCTTACAGAAAGGTCATAATAAAGTACAGCTGTGTGCAAAACATAGGTTTTATATATACATGCGTTGGGGGTAGGGTATGAATTAGGAGGCACATATATCAAAACATTGAGAGGTTATCTTTCGATAATGAGATTATGAATGATTTTCAGTTTCTCCTTTACACCTTAACATACCTTAAAATCCGTAAGAATTCATTATAAGCTATTACAGTTTTCTTAAAAACCCACAAAATAAAAAAATGAGAATTAGCATACTCTAGGAACACTTTCAAAGAGGGAAGATGACACAAACAAAATTCTTAAGATGAATATACTTATTTTAAAATATGAATCATTCATTGATGAGTTTAGCAATCTACTTTTTAAAAGGCTTTATGCACAAATCTCCCTTATGTGTGTGGGGGAGATAAGGATCCAAAGTGACAGCTTACCTATATAGTACATCAGCTACAGGCAGGGACCCCAGATCAGTCTGTTTCTGTAACAGATGGACCGTATGGACAAAAGTTTTCAACGATCCCCTAAAAATAAAAGGAGGAACAGAAAAATCATCAAAATTGAAAAGCCGAACAACAAGATTAATTTTATTAACCACATGAGAGGGTCCCAAAAGGGGTCTATCCGCTTCCGTGGATCAGACCTATTGTACCAAATATACTGGATTCTTACAGATTACCACTGGCTCATACAAAAAGTTACTATGTGAGCAGCACCAATTATACCAATTAGGATGTTCTCCCTGCATTTGTAAAGGTAAACAATTTTCTCCCAAAATAAAGGTTCAAAATCTAAGGCTCAAACAAAACACATGTGGCTATTATGCTTCAGCACCATTTCATGAAGTCCTTCTCTAGTCTAGAAGAGAGATTTTATAGAACAGGGTTATACTTAAAGTCTAACAGTGTTTCCAGGCTTCATTTTTAAATATCATTAAGTTTTGTTTTGTTTTGTTTAAGATTTTATTTGAGAGAGGAGAGAGAAGCAGACTCCCTACTGAGCAGGAAGCCGGATGTGGAGCCCGATCCCAGGACCCGGAGTTGAAGGCAGATGCCTCACTGACTGAGCCATCCAGGTACCTCTAAGTTCATCCATTTCACATAACATCTCCCCCAAACTATCACATTAAATATGACTGCAAAGGAATACATTCAAATAATGTGTTTTTTTTATTAAGTCTACCCCAATGCGGGGCTCAAACTCACAAGCCTGAGATCGAGTCACACACTCTACTAAAAGCCAGCCAGGCGCCCTGGAAATAAATATTTTGTGCTTAGAGGTGTGTTTCTTCTGCTTCCCTCGCTGTGAAGTATGTGACTAATGCTTGCAGAGCTCACCACTACCCAATTTCCTTTTGGTTCCCAAGGCTCAAGATTCTGGGAAATCTAGAATATGGTCAACAGGATCTAAAAGAAGGTGCTTTTAAGATGCACAGGACTTACCTGGCCAGATCCCAAGTATAAATCACCACAGAACATTTCCTGAACTAAATGATCGCCTGTATCAGATAGGCTGACTTCAGATCACTGCCTTATTCTCTTAGCCAAGGCTTTAATTGCTAGGTATCATATGCCTCAACCCCAAAAGAAATGGAATACCGGACACTGGACTGAGTAGGCTTGAAGTCCTCTTAATTGCTCCTTTCACTATCTCTGGTGTTCAAAGAATCAAAACTAAAAACAGTATAAAGCAGGAAGGCAGCAGATAGGGTCTAAAAGCTCAAGTTGGGAGTCAGGCCACTCACCAGCTACACCATCTCAACCCTGTCACCTAATTCCTATGGATTTTTGCTTCTTCATCTGTCCAGCAGGGCCATCTCCCTGGCATGCAGTGAGGTTAAAGGGGCAAAAGTACACTGGAACACTTAAGACCATTAAACCAACTATAAGGTATTATTACCTGCCAGACTGAATCACATTTTCAGAATAAAATTCAAACTCCTTCCATGGCTCCTAAGCCCCTACATGACCTGAGCCCTGCCAAGCTCCTCTCCTGCCCCTTTTCTCTACCACTGCATTCCAGCTCCTGGGTTACTTTGCTGTCCCCCTCAGCTACCCCAAGCACAGAAAGAGCATCCGAGTTGTGCCACCAGCTATTCTTCTTGACCAGAGCACACTATCACTGACTTCTTGATGTCTGGCTGGCTCTTTCTCCTCATCCTGCCCTCTGTTCAACGGTCACCTCTTCAGTAAGGCCTTCCCTACTATCTCCAGCTAATTCTGTCCCACCCTCCACTTTATCATTCTCTATCAAAATATCCTGGTAGGTCTTTTTATAAGTGAATATCCCTCTGAAGTTATCTTATTCAGGTCAACTTTGCAATTCGAGGGACCAACCATCTTGCTCACTATTGTATTCCCACTGTCTAGAAGAGTACCTTGCACACGGTGAGAAATAATTATTTACAAAGTGAATCAACCTGAGTCCATTCAACTGCAAGGTTTGAAACCAGGAATCACTATATTCCTAAGAATCAGCAAGGTTCCTGGCAAAGGTACTCAATAAATTGGTTTAACAAATAAGCATATTCAAAATAATTTTTTGAAAATGTTTTGTCTTTGAAAGCATCAATCTCAAAAGTTTGTCCCTAATAACCTCATTAAAATAGATGACCCAACTGAAAAGCTTAGGACTTCTGGAGGTAAAGAAAGTCCAGAATGAGGGGACAATATTAGCAACACAATGTAGGAACCATCTTTAAACACAAAACAAAAAACACCAAGAAGAAAATAAAAACATTCATTTCAACATTTCTGTATGGAATTTGGAATCTCCAGCACATGAAACAACTTCAGTAACTATCAGATTGAATGTGGGCACAATAAGTTTTTTGACTCCATGTTCAATAAATGAAAATGTTTAAAACTGAGTTGATTATTCCTAACATTCCAAATCTGTCTAAAGACAATCCTATCTAGAAGCAAATTTTCGGGGTGCCTGGGTGGCTCAGTTGGTTAAGTGTCTGATTCTTGATTTTGGCTCAGGTCATGATCTCAGGGTTGTGGGATTGAGCCCCATGTTGGGCTCGGCGCTCAGCAAGGAGTTCGCTTCAGAGTTTCCCTCTCCCTCTGTCCCTCCCTCTGTTCACGGTCTTGCTCTCTAAATATTTTTAAATTTTTTTTTAATTCTCTCAAAATGGGATTTTTAAAAAAGATTTAGGGGTGCCTGGGTGGCTCAGCAGGTTAAGCGTCTGCCTTTGCTCAGGTCATGATCCCAGAGTCCTGGGATAGAGCACCACATTGGGCTCCCTGCTCAGTGGGGAGCCTGCTTCTTCCTCTCCCTCTGCCACTCCCCCTGCTTGTGTTCTCTCACGCCCTGTCAAAATCTTTTTAAAAAGTAAATAATAAAAATAAAAATAAAATTAAAAAGATTTATCTATTTGTAAGAGAAAATGCGCTCGCATGCATGGGGGGGGAGGAGGGCAAAGGGACAATCTTAAGCAGACTCCCCACTGAGCACGGAACCACGACATGGGCCTTGATCTCACAACCCTGAGACCATGATCTGAGCCAAAAATCGAGAGTCAGATGCCCAATCGACTGAGCCACCCAGGTGCCCCCCAAAATAGGATTATTGTATTAACAAGTCTATTGAGGGTTTGAAATGGTCTTCTACAAATGCAAACTATCAATCTAATATAAAGCCTTTCCGGGAAAGCTTATTTCAGTGCTACCCAGTAATGTCTCCAGATTTAAGCTCATGTCAGGACTTCCACAGTCAACCCGTCTTCAGAGATCTAAAACTAGGCTATGACAGTTTGCTCAGGGCAAAGAAACTGACGGTGCCATTTTGCCTTAAAAATAGCTTGAGATTCAACCATTTGAAGGTCAACTTTGAAACCATAAAAATAGGGGAAGTCTTACAACCAAGAACTTCATAATCTTCCAAGAAGAATTTTCCCACATACACTTTGCTTAAAAAAAAAAAAAAAAAAGAAGAAGAAGAAGAAGAACTCTGAAGGGAGCAGCACAGATTAGTGACATTAATTGGTGACACTAATCTGTCAGACCATGGTCCTAATTGGTCTCTAGACAACTAGCTTAGAGGCAAGCAAGGGCAGTGAACCTTTTTCTCACAAAATTGTGCCAATGATCATACAGGTTACTGGGCAAGAGAATGTAGAGACCCTCTCCCAGAAAAGTAACTCCAACATTTCCTACTGATATTAGATCAGTAACCTCTGCTTACAAAGGATGGCACACTATTAAATCTGGACAAATACAGAGAGATCTTTCAGTTAAATTAATGGAGGCAAGCATCATGGTCCAGAAATACAATTTGTGACCAAGCCTGCGTGACTGAGTCCAGGTAATAACCCACACACTTGCTGAAACACTCCTTGTAAGACAGCCATGAAAAAAAATTAACAGCTCTACCCATTTTCTGACCATCCTTCCAGGAGAAATATAGATATACCATCCTCCACTAACTGCTGGACCTAAAGCACTAGTCGTCTAGGGGGTGAGTAGATAACGGCAAGGGTTGGCTCTCCTTTTTAAGCTCCTTCAGCTTTATCACAGGATGGCAGACAGCAAACACTTGAACTTTAGGCTCCAGCTCAGGGTCCTGGTGCCAAGTTTTGGTGGAAGTATCTTATGCACTGTCGAGGCTGCGAAATTCAATACTGCCAACAAAGAAGGACTACTGGATGTTAAGACTTCCATCACATATGCTTGCCTCTCACTCACCAACAACCCCCCCCGCCCCCCACCGGCAGCAGCCGTCACGAGGCCACCAAGGAGTGCCTCTGCTGGTCCTTACCTGGCACAGGCCAAAGCCACCAGAGCAGCAGCGGCATTTTCTTTTTGCTTATGTGGGATGTGTCGGCCGGTGTCAGCAGGGTCCTCTAGCCAAGAGCACAGCAAAGTTTCGATTCCATTGAGACAGTCAGCAGGCTCCTTGGTCAGGCTCAAAGGCTGGCAGTCACGAAGGCAGTTCAATAGCACCTCAGCAGTTATGTTACAGAGAGAGGGGTCCGTTCTGCTCTGGGACTGAATAAGGGGGAAGACCAGCAGGAGCCCCATCCGAGACGTGAAGGGAGCTTGCTCGGGTTGCTGCAACAAGCCCTGGCGTTTGAGCAGAGCCAATGTTTCCTCATCACCCGAACTTTCTCGTTCATGCTGTTCCTCCAAGGCCAGCTGGCGCTGGGCATTCCACAGTCCTCGTAAGGCATTCAGGCGGTATTCCAGCAGGCGCGCGTAGGCATTGCTCTGATTCCCACAAACAGAGCGCAGACGTTCGGCTAATTCCGTCGGGTTCTTGGTCTCAAATGTTAAAATCTAAGGGAAGAAACAAAGAAGTTGGTAGGTACTGTTTTCACCATGGCTTTCATCTATGGATGCAAATATATCCAATGGTATCTAAAAATGGTCCACATACATCAGCTTAATTGGGGCCAAATATGAAACCATGTGCTGTAAAGCCAGGTATTTGCTGGGGATTTTTTTTCCCGTGGCGTTTCTGCTAGTGCTCCAGTTAAAAGTAATATCAGACCTAAGTCAAAGAAGCCAAATCATGAAAACAGTTAAGTGTGGAAGTCAGAAATTAATTCAAGTAATTTATTTTAGAAAATTGAGGTACAGGTCCTTATTAAATGCTCTGGAGTTAAATGTAAGTCTCTAATTCCCATTACCAGGTGGATTGTAAGTGAAAAGAACAAAATTTTATCTTCAGAATCGAATATACCTACTCATAAATGACTGATACTGTATTGTTCTTTGATTCTGAAGAACACTCCATTCTTACTACTGTTAATCCATTATTTCAATTGGTGACATGGTATAGATTTATTCAGTTCATACTGATAGAGGAATCACTACTATTTTCTTGCCAAAACATACAATTGCCAGGAGGCCTCTGGACTTTCAGCAGCTAGGGGAATAAAACCATTAAATCCTTAATCCTAAAACAGGAACCAGCTATCAAGATAAAGAATTTAACTTTATGATGCAAAAAGTTGATGCACAGAACTTCAACTAGGTTAAAACGAACAGACTATTGTAAGCAACAAAGGAGGGCACTCCAGGGGCAAGCACATTAAAACAGACTATCAGGCGCCAGGGTATCTGGTTCTCAGTAGACCAGAAAGTCAGGGTGAGAAGAGGATTGAAATAAAAGCAAAGAAAATTCTGTCACGTCATTGGCACTGCATTTTAAAAGGTTATGGATCACTTTATTTCTCTCAGAAACCTGCAACATACTTTTACTACTTCAAATTTTGCCCTTAAAAACTGTTAGCCCAATAAAACAACAAGAACTTCCAGAACAATGTAAACACTGTAACTGCCTTGCTTAGCTATATATGCAAGTCACTGAACTGAAAAAATGTTGTTTAAACAACAAATTCTGGGGCATCCGCTGGCTCAGTCAGTAGAGTGTGCAACTTAATCTCAGGGTCATGAGTTCAAGCCCCACGTTGGGTGTGGAGCCTACTTATAAATAGTTCCAATTCAAAAAATGTACTTCATTTATTTGAAAAACATGTTCAGTGTTGAAAAAGAAAAGGATAAACAATTTGAATTTCAGTGCCAGACTATCAGATCAGAAATAACATCCAAATGCCATAAGATTTCAAACAACTTAGCAATAAGAAGAAAAGAACCACTGAAACACACAACTTCAATGAATTTCAATGGCATTGAGTTGAAGGAAAGCAGCCAATTTCAAAAGGTTGCATCTGTAAGATTCCATTTAGGACTTTCTGGAAAAACAACAGAATAAAACTATGGTGATGGAGAAGAGATCAGTGATTGTCAGAGGTTAGGGGAATAGGCAGGGTAGGACTAATATTGCGATAGTATGAAGAAGTTTTTCGGAATGAAGAAACTGTTCTGTATCCTGGTGGTGGTGGGGACGTGAATCTATAGGTGTTAAATTCAGAGAACAATAAACCCCCTAAAAAGGTCAATTTAACTGTATGATAATTTTTAAACAAAAGGAAAAAAATTCCAACCAGGCTGTATCTGTATTCAACTAAGTACCATTGGGTAAAGCTATATTCCAAGTCATATTAAAATTAAAAACTAGGGCCATTTTTAGTTTTTAAAACAACAATGTTTAAATGGTCTTTTACAATCAAGTCATACCAAACTGCATTTTCCTACCTTTTAACTGGATTCAAACACAAATCACCCTTTTGATTATTTTTCACATGGCAGCAGATAAAATAACTCAAGTTCCTTAAAAAAAAAAAAAAATCACATTTCAAGGGCAACCATCTACCTTGAAGCTGTAATCAATATCCAAGGAAGCTAGACTGCCTTTTTTTTTTCCTTCTAGGATCTCCCCTCAAAAATTAGCCTCCACCATTAAAATCAAAACCAAAGACCAAGATGATTTTAATGTTGTTAAAAGAATTAAGGGGCGCCTGGGTGGCTCAGTCGGCTGACCATCTGCCTTCGGCTTGAGTCATGATCCCAGAGTCCTGAGATCAAGTCCTGTATCGGGCTCCCTGCTCAGCGGGGAGCCTGCTTCTCCCTCCAACACCCCCCCCACCCCCGGCCATGCTCTCTCTCGCTCATGCGCTCTCAAATAAAATTGAAAGAAAAAACAACCCACAAAACTTTGTCTTCCTAGTTAGGAACATCTAAAACAAATTTTAAGAGCTTTCCAGTATTGGTTTTGTGATTTTCACTCAACTCTGATATAAAATACATATGAAACACATAGGTGTTCCCCACATTTTATTTATGGTACACTGATCTACTTAGGTTATATGAAGCAACTACTAAAAAATTCAATAGACTTTTATTAGACCCAAGAATCAAAGAACAACTCAGTAACATTAAACCCACCGATTTCCTTTTATCAATCTTAAAGATAAGTGGTTCTAAAATGTGATATTTCATGGTTCATAATGACGTTTATGATTGAATCTATAGCTAACTCCAAACATTAAGACTAGCTGGAAAAAAAAAACAAACACTATATACTTCTGCACTTTCCTTGTGATTCTATTTTTATAAGTACTTCAGTTGTATTTTGGCATTCCACTTGAAAGACATATTCTGAAAAGATAGGAGTTATAATTAACCAAATATTATATGATACACTTAAGTGACTTATGTTTATTGATTTAGCAGTATCTAAGGCACACTATGCTTTCAGAAATCCATTAGATTACTCAGCATTATCCATTCCAATGGCCCCTCATGAAAACTAAGAACCGTGCGCTTCACACTGCTGCTTTTCAGAATTCTAAGTTTGAAGGTCATGGCCAAATATCATTTCATAAAGACATCATACCTTTGAGTTTTAGTACGTCAGCTATGAAGGATCTATTCTGGTACTTATGAATATTAAATAGATTTGTCTCAGATCCTCATATAAAACCACTGCTCTCAGTAACTGCTCTTAAAGAAGATAAAAAGACCAGAATGTCATTAGAAAATGAACACTTTGCTCTTTAAAAAGGGGGAAAACTACTTAAGGGAAGATCCCCATCATCCTTAATCAGAAGGAAGGGTCACTAACTGTACTTCAGTGATAATAAAGTCACCCAATGAATAGAAGAACTTTCAAAGTAATGTGTTGCATTAATTTTTATCATACATGACACACAAGTTTAAGCTAAGACAACAGCAATCATTCTGGAAAGCCTAACAGAAGGTAAGCAAAATATTCTTTGCCAGCCAAATCTGGCTTTGAACAAGACTCCAATATTCGACGTAAGAGCAGTTATAGAGGATCAGCTCATTTCAGCCAATTTCTCTCCATTTTCCATGTGGAAAAATACAAGAGCAAGCACCCGCCAGCCATGATGTGAAATGTGAAATGTCAACACGCATTTCAATTGTCATAGTGAGAAAAAGCAGAGAGAGGCTTTTGAAGTAGTAGAGAACGTTACAAATGAAGAAATTAACTAAACCAATAATTGACAGAAAAGATTAGGGCATCTTTCTAAGAATTTAACCTAAAAAAAATTTCAGAAATAAATGCACTGAAGTTTTATTATAGTGGAAAAAGTAGAAGCAATTTCAGTATCTAAAAAGTAAGTGTTCAGGGGCACCTGGCTGGCTCAGTCAGTACAGCATGTGATTCTTGATCTTGGGGCTCTAAGCTCAAGCCCCACGTTGGGTGTGGAGATTACTTAAAAAAATAAAATCTTAAATAAAAATTTAAAAAATAGAAGGGAAGGGGCGCCTGGATGGCACAGGTCATGATCCCAAAGTCCTGGGATCGAGCCCCGCATCAGGCTCCCTGCTCAGAGGGGAGCCTGCTTCTCCCTCTCCCACTACCCTCTGCTTGTGCTGTCTCTGTCAAACAAAAAAATAAAATCTTTAATAGGAAGTGTTCAATTAAAACATGACAATGGAAATTACACAATAACTTAAAGTTAAAACCAAAGAAAAAGAAAAATTATATACGCCCTGTAAGTAGGACTGTGTAAAACATACTTGTTCAATTTGAAATGTCATTAGTATTTGTGGTAATAGAAACATGGATTTTTCTCTATTAAAAAAATCTGTGATGACAAGTTAAATAGTCCATATTTAAGCAATCATAACTAAAAGGGATATTTTTCAAAAGCAAACGCTATCTTTAAATAACTGGTAGTCAAACAAATGGTGACACAATTGCTAGATTTTAAATGGGGGTGGAGGGGACATCTGACAAAAAAAATCATCACAGTACCACAGGATATGCTGTCCTTAAATCCACTGACTAGTTCCATCTGTTGCACTTTGGCAGCAAATAACATAGGGCTGGTTAGATTCCTGGTTAGGAGGGAAGACTGAATGGTGGGATGGGGAAGACCACAGATATTGGGAGCTATCGATGAACAATAAAACCTTTCACTCTCCAAGAAGAAAGGATACTTAAAACCCAGGACTGTGCCCACCTCGGGAGCACATATACTAATACTCAGGATCACTCAAGCTCCAAACAGATGAATTACATTACTGTACTCCCTAGTATGGTACATTAACCAATTCATTATATGTACCTGTCAGCATAAAAGGAATTTATACTTGGGTTATTATTTCAAAGCAGATCAACTGGCCAGACTTGCAAACAAAACTTTGCAGGAAAGGCTATAGAATACGGAAATCCTCTCAAATGTTAGAGTGGATTTTTAAACGCTTCTATAAGTTTTCCTACTTTTTTCACATTACGAAGATGGCAATCATGGCCAAACTGAATTGCATATGGTAATTTACAGAATGTAAGATCTCAAGTGAACCAAGTAAATGAATTGTGAATGGAAGGATGGAATTCTATCTCTAATATGAAAGGCTAAATCAAGAGTGGATCACTTAACAATTAAATTAAACCCTGA